TTATTATTTTTTATTATATAAATCATATTAATATTAAAAAATTCTCTCAAATAATTTTTGACAATATTGTCCCGTGTACGGATACTCCTTCTAGTATTATTTATTATTTATACAATACAATTTTATAACACCATTTCTGATATTATTATTTTTCTCTCTATCTCTATATGAAAGTAAAAAATATATATATATTCACATTTCTCTTTGTTTTCTCATTATATTGTAGCAAAAAATTATTTTATTGATGTTGGTCTGGTAATTTTCCAGAAGAGTTGGCAGCAATTTTAAATGGGCTGAGAAAGGCCTGCATGGAATTAGGCTGATACTGTTCGAAATCTCTGGGCCAACGATCATTTATACTAGCTTCATGATATTTACACCTCCTCTTTTCTATAAGTACACCTCCTTTTAAAAAAAAATAATTAAAATTTTAAAATATTCTTAACTTTTTTTTTAAATTTTTTAATTTTACATCATAACATTTAATTTAGTAACCTTTTTTTTTACATATTTTTTCTCTTTTTTTTAATTTTTACATGCACTCCCTTATTTTTTCTTCACCCCACCTATTTTCGTAGCATGTGAAAATTGAAAGAGAAAAAAAAAGTGTATGAATAAGAAGAAGAAAGTAACAAATTGAAAGTTAAAAGTGTAAAATTAAAATTTTTAAAAAAAATTATAATATTTTATATTTTTTTTTTAAAAGAAGGAGGTATACTTATAAAAAAAAAGGAGGTGTATATATCATGAGCCTTTATACTAGGCTCATGATATATATCTTCTTTTTTTATTTTTTATGAGTATACCTTTTATTTTAAAAAAAACTAAAGATGTATTTATAAAAAAAGATCAGCCTTCATTCTATTGGTGGTGCCAGCCCAATACATACTTTAAGCTTATAAGTGAATTTTAAGATGTGTTGTTTTGAATTTTAGTTGTTCTTGTTTTGTCCTCTCAAAATTTAACTATATTCGTGTTGATTCTTGCAAATTTTAGTTAACTTTGTTTTAATCATCTCAAATTTCGATCTCTATAATTTTTTAGTTTTTCTTTATTAAATTTAATGGTCAATATGACAGTAAAATAAAAATAAAACAAAAAATATAGGGATGAAATTGAAAAGAAAAAAAAAACTAAAAGCAACAAAACCTTATTTTACATGGATGGAAGAATTATGTAAACTTTTTTATTATAAAAATCAATAAATTTATCATACATAAATTAATTGTGATTAAATGAATATCTATACGTATTATAAAATGGATATATTTTAATAATTACTCATTTGATCTCCATTTTTTAATGGACCATTATACTCCTTGAAATGCTTAATTTTTTTTTCTTATATTCTTTTTAAATAATTATCTATAATTTTTAATATTTGTCTGTGTATAACTATTAGAGGTACGACGATCTTTCGAATATATATAATTGAAATTAAAATCTTATATAAGTCATAGATGAAACAAGTGTTGCAGATGAATTGGAATGGGGAGTCTCCATTTAATTCCAACATGTTCTCCACGAAGCCAATCAAGTAGCGAGTTCTATGGGAGAGGCTTGGTTTTCATGGGGAACATGTTCTTCATCAGTATCACTGTATATGTTTCTTTTTTATGTTATTGGAAACATAATTTATTGAATTATAAACCAATAATAAATCATATAATTCTTTCATGAACATCATGCATGCAACCAATTTGATAATGCAAATCCAATTACAAAATATTAATCTCCTCTGACCATATTGCTTTAAAACCCAACCGATGAATCATACTTAAATCAATGATACCACATAAATAATGTATTAAATAATATTAATTTATACACAAATCTTACATGTGGACTTTATTTGTTTTGCAAAACATTTTTTAGTAAAGAAAACGAAGAAAATCATTTTTTTTGTAAAATATCATCCATGTCGGTTTTGTTATCAGTATCTTTTTATGCCAATTTTTACTGTTTGGACCAATCCTCTAGTGATTCTTCGTTACACCAATTTTGTGAGTTACTAAATTCGTATAAGTTATCTAATTAATTCAATAATTTTTCGGTTGAATTGACTGTTATAAGTTGGCTTTTAAATGATCAGTTTAGGTGGTTTTGCTTGTCACTATTTTTTTTATAAATATTTTCATAAGAAAATTTAAAAAAAATTATACATTTTAACTTAAAAAAATTTCTAAATCTAACCTCTTTAAGATGTATATAAGTTTTTTTTTTGAAAGGTAAGATGTATATAATTTAATTTTAACTTTAAAAAAATAAAATTTTAATTATAAGAGTTATTCTCTAATTAGCATTAGAGAATCATCTAGGTAACTCACGTTAAAGAAAAGGATGTATTATTCAAGTTTTACTAAAATTATGACTTTCATCGAAAATAAGAGTCTTAGAAAATAAGAGTCTTAAGTTCGAACTCTATCATTATTATAATTTTTTATGGAAAAAAAACTAAAACTATAACCAAATAATAATCTACTTGAAACATGATATAAAAAGTAAATAAAATTTGTCTACGCATAAAAACTGTCAAAAATATTAATTTTGTCTACTTATTACTCGATGTATTTTTCATATAATAAATATTAGGAAATTATTAGGGTATCCTTATAAATTAGAATATTTTGGTACAATCAATTTTTTAAACTAATAAAAATATAAATATTTTTTTTCTTTTCACTTTCATTTCTTATCTTCTATACTAAGTAATGTTCTTAACAAATAAATTATCTAACTAATTAACTTATTATTTCTTTTCGCTAAATATTATATTGGTCTAAGTGTTTTAAATTATTTTGTAAAAATCAAAATAACTTTAAGAAGAGTACAATAAGATTTTATTTGCTAAAATTGAGGGAGATTTTGTAAATTTTTTATTCAATTTGCTCCTTATAATTTGTACACAAATATAAAAAAAAAAAAAAAAATTTATCATAACTCATAATATGCTAAAAATATTCTTACAAATCCAAACATTTTGTATATATATTAAGAATTTTAAGAAAATATATATGAAATGAAAATTATAAACATATTAAAAATCAAACAATCTAATCAAATGGTCAAATATTTTAAAAATACAAAATAAAAATAAAAATAGTTCCAAAACCCTTTAAATATAAAGGGTATGGTAGAATTTCTCTAAATATATTTTTTTAATATTTTCTATTTTTATTTATTTTATTAGTACTTTAAAAGCACTTGCTAGCATTTACATTAGTTAATTACCGTGTAAAATTTTAAAGCAATATTGCAGCATAAAATGTGTTCATTTATTCTCAATTTTCCGGGAACCTTTGTAATTGGGGAATATAAGTGGTATATATATATATATATATATATATATATATATATAAATG